GACTCATTCGTGTCAGTGATCTCGCTTAAGTCTGTGGATGAATTCAATCTCTTTGAGTTCTTATTTGTATTTCTCGAAAAAGCTATCATAAGCACTCTGCGTGACATCCATCAAGATGGCTGATGTTTGAATAATTTGAGCAGTTTGAGAATTGATCAGTGTAAAAATATGGAAATGAATGCAACTTACTTTTTGAGCAACTCATTGAAATTGTTATGCAAATAATCTGAGACTATCTCGTTATCGTAATTCCGTCTAAAATTCAGAATAACATTTAGAAGTAATACGATCATTTTCATGGCAACGTGCAAACATCATCGGTGAGAATTTTCTAGTCGTAATCATGCTATTTTTGGTCATGGTCTGTGAATAACGTAATTGAGGAGGATATTGAACAAGATTCGATGCATTTCGATCAAATTTGTCAATTCAGTGAGAAAATATCACGAAGGTACAGATGAATAACCTGGATAATTCTATTAGTTTCGGTCGGAAATCGGTATCTCGGTCTTTGACACTCAGTACTTCTTTGACCAATCTGTAAATTCAATGACTCAGATTGATGACGATAGTTTGTATGAATAGTGGCCTAGGGCCACGCTTGTGCATGAAAAACATCTGGAAAAAGTACTAATTCAGTGCATACGCACTCGACAATAGTCGAACGATTCGATGTGAATGCCATCGCAAAAAAAATTCGATCTCGTTCAGCATGATACTCTTCCTCACGGTATTTCCTCTGCAAAAAGTCGAAATCACTTTGATTTCCATACTTCGACGCCGCCATATAAACAACACTGCGCATACTTGGATCCACTCTGAAATCCACTCATACAAATTAATCAAATNNNAAACGCCGATGAAAGAACCGTCAGTCAAAGATGATCAATTGGGTGGTTATAGTTTCATTACAAGATCACATTTCATAAAATCGCTATGACACAGAATTCACAATTTCAAACTACGAATGAACTGATATGAAGTATCCAATTTGCTTGCTTTCAAAACGGATTTCGGATAGGATGATATCTATAGATAGATAGATGATAAGGACACACCTGTTACAAGTGCTGCTTAATTTATGATGTGCACAGTGTCGTTTAAGCTCGTCGAATTTATATCGAACAGCCTCAATGCATGCTCGATAACCGCTCACGCACAATTTGAGCAGTATCAACTCGCGCATGAATCTTAATTTCAGTTTTCTTTTCAATTCATTTATCAAAATGAACAACACAGAGCAATATTCGATCAACTGATTAAATTCTCAGTGCTTTCTCCCAGTGAATTTCTTACACTTAATACTAGCAATTTACTTAAGAGTCAAGCATTAACAATTGAACTTACTCTTTCTCCATAACGGTCTCGACGCTATCTATTTCATTCTCGTTCAAAATCCTTAAGAATGTTGGTTCCAACAGATAGTGAACATACTTCTGCAATTGATGACAAGTGATTGTTTTGGCAAGGAATACCTGCTTTAACATTTGATCATTCATAGTGATAGGATAACTTCAATCACTTAAATTTTCCAGTGCTATCGTTAGCGAGAATTTCTTCTCAAACTTCCTTTTCTAATCGAAAAATGCTTCCTAAACAGTGTCGATCCTCTCATAAGAATATCATGTAAACGCTCCCAAGTGATATTCTAAAATGGGATCTCAGTGAGTGCAGTAGCGCAGTGCAGTTCAGACATGAAACTGTGTGTTTGATATTTGAGATATTCGCGATGCACATTTGAGATATTCTCTTGTAAACATTGAGATATGCACATCAAATGATCTGTGCACATCTT